GAGTATAGTCTTAAAGTAGAGTCTAGAATGCACCCAGGTTAATAGGGAAGAAATTCTGTGATAAAGAGAGCTGCTTTGGGAAGAGGAGTCAAGAATGTCAGCACATTTGTCATATATTCCCCATATATTTGCCATCCCCACGAAGCATAATCCTTTCTTTCCTAGATTCACAGTCAAACTGCATCTGTCGTAATAAGATGGGTTTTAAAGCAAAAATTCCATCACCAAACATCATAAATAGAGCTCTCCTTCAGAGTAGTCACATTTAGAGGCTAGTTATGTTCAAGAACTATCACTGCAAAATTTGGAGTTCTTCGTAAAATACAGCTCAAACTCATTACTTTGTAAGTAAACTGGGTTTTGACCAAGATGATACCTTAGGAGTAGGATAAATTGCTTATTGTTGGCTCCAAATGACTTCCAAGTCTTGAAAAGATTAAATCTGCCTTGAAGGATGAAAATGGGCTATCAATACGTCTATTAAAATTACTCTACCAATAATCTGAGTGTGTCTGTTGTATGGAGCACAGTGCTCAGCACTGGAAATGGAAATCAAAGGCCAAATTCCTGCCCCCGAGGAGCTTATAATCTGCATCAAACACACAGCGGGCTCCTCCACCTGCAAGACAATGGGTTTCCATGGGCTCTGGCCTGTTGCTGATGCACTTGCATAAGTGGGTTCTCAGCCAGGCAAGAAGCCTGTCCCCAGAAGTGAGAGTAGCTCCCCCCTCCCCCGCCAGCCACTGTGAACCATGCTTGGCCCCACAAAAGAAAGGAAAACAGGAGAGACATTGGGTCAGATCTTCCAGAAGGTCTTTGTTGCAATTTTCTGCATCATTGAAAAAAAAAGTTACATCGTCATCAAATAAAGACAATAGCAGCAGAGCTCACTGAAACGTTACAAGCAAATTTGCTCTTGTACTTTTCCTAAGAACATTACGAAATTCCCTCCTTCCCCCCCACCCCACATTATTTTCTGTAAAATGCCTTTTTTTTTTTTTTTTAAAGCACCATGAAATCCCACAGAGAGAAAAACAGGTAAAACACCTCCACACATGGGTTTATCGTCATCGCTGGGGCCCCTGCCTGGGAGTCTGGGACGGGGAAGAGGCTGGAGGCTGGCATGTGGATTGGTTTGCATAACACTTCTAGGCACCACTGTACCTTCTTCCTTCAACCTCGGTGCCCTGATGGCAAAGGAGAGGTTTTCCCAATCACCCTCTCTAACACCAGTCTGCCGTATCAATGGAGCGGAGTCCTCTCAAGGATGGTTTTCTTTTGTTTTGTTTTGTTTTGTTTTTAATGCACAAGGAACTATTTGAGATTTTTCACTTAAGAAACGATAACAGAAGGTAGATTTCAAATCTCTTAGGCACCTGTGAAAATGATAATCGCTTTCTGTAAAATCAAAGACACTTGTTAGTTCTCCTCAGTGCCACCGTGCCAATGTCATGTGACCTAGGGACCGCCATGGGAGGAGTGAGGTTTGCATGGATGGCTGCTGGTTTATCATGCCAGGACAGCCAGGGCTTTGTTTCTAGCCACGTAATCAACATGCTATTCCAAAGTTTCCATATGTAGAATTAACAGGATCTGCAATGCCAAAGTCACTTTTGCTTCAGAGAGTTTCCCATTTTTATTTTTTAAGGCCGTTGCTATCGAGCTCTTACACTCTACCCATGAAAGTTCCCTCTGCTGACACAGCCATGGTGTTTGTGCACAGTTGCATCATAACAGAAATAATAAACCTCCGCTTGAAACCTGAGCAGGATGCAGAGAGCAGAGACAGGAAAAGCAAAGCCGGTTTTTCCTCTTTTCTTTAGAGAGTCTCTGCACATTTGTGTGTTTTCCTATGCCTTTCCTATGGTTCGGAAACCATGGTATACATTGAATGGTCTACAATCTTACCCAATCCAATGAGAATAAATCTGCCCCACCCAAATTCTGGTCACATTCTCACTAATCCCCCAAACCCAAGCACACAAATAAATGAGCAGCATTGACTCAGCCAGGAAATGACATCCTCTCAGGGATGGAGGAGGTAAGGGAGTGGTTTGCTAACGTCTAGCACAACTAGGACTTTCAACATCGAATGGTCCCATTAGACCCCAAAGCAGCCATTTCCAGCGTGTGTGTGTGTGTGTGTGTGTGTGTGGCAGGTATCTGTCTATATTATATGAATTCATGAAGTAATCAAAGGGAACTTTTATCACAATTGACTGCAAATAGCAACAGCTTTAAAGTTCTTTAAACAATCTTAACACCATGCAAAAAATGCCCGCATAGCCTGAGTCCTCCAGGTGACAGGATGTTGTAAGGGAGTATAGAGTGAGCCTACACAGGGCACGATTCTAATTCAGACACCAGGCTCCCAAATACATCTGGTCTCCATCAATTACTCAGAAAACAAATCCCAAAGGGCAGGAGACTCTTAGCCTAAAATAAGGGGGCCGTGTGTCAGTATACACAAACACAGCTAATACCGTTCTTAATGAATTTAACAAACTCGTAGACCAGGGGAGGTTTGGTCAGAGAACTGTGGAACTAAAAGGGGCCTTGATGATTATCTGTGTTGAATTCCCTTGATGTCCTGACGAGGTAACAGAGAAGCACGGGGACAGAGGTGTCCACGCTCACAGGCTGGGACAGGGAAACACAGACAAACAGTCCCAGTCGCCTCACCTACAGGTCAGGGACATCCCTACCCACACACACATTAGGGCCCTCCCCTGACAGTGGTAAGTTTCTAGAATTCACTATTGAGTTAGGACTGGGTATGGAGCTACCGTCTCCAAATGATCCCCCCACTGTCCCCAGCAAACCTCCAGATCTGTTAGGGAAGAAAAAATCAGGACCCAATTACCAGGTGAGGCAAAAGACACCACCCACTGAAGACACAGAAGATACTGAACACGTGCTCTTCCCATGTGCAAAATCAAGGCGCTGACGCCAGCTTTACAGCGGCGTAGGGAGCGCCGGTTGGAGGGGCAGGGGGGCGCTGATGGGTGTTTAGAATCTGCAGCAGCTTCGGTACGTGCTATTTGCTATGTGCTGTTTGGTCCCATCTTCAAAGGGTACCACTCAAACCACTTCCATCACGACTCGCCTCCCCCAAATCTTAGCCTGTACACACTAAGAGGAGCCCAAGCTCTTACTCCCTCTCAGCTTCTCAGACTTTGGAGAGTATGCTCTAGTTTGCCCAATACTGCCCATATTTAATGACGCACTCTCCATAGAGGGAGGGCTCTTCTTGGATTTCATTCCCCAGGGCTTTGGGCCCCACTGTATTCAGGGAACAGGTTGTACTGGGTTTTTTCCCACTCTCAGCTGAGGGCTGTTTCTGAGCCCTCTGTACTACTGTGATTTGACCCCTTTGGGGAAGCGTCTACGCACACACCAACACCTGTTCCATTTGGTAGAATGTGCAGCTTCGTGCTTTGAATTGTTTTATTCCTGCTATAAGCGGAGTTCCTGCAAGGTAAGCAAGTAAAGTGCAAAAGAGTGCTTTCAAAGGGCAATTTTTTAACAATAGAGAAAGGGCACCACAGACAGCATTCCCAAAACCCAAACCAGAATAATGTATAAGTATCTGTAAGGGTAATGCTTTAGGTCATGATTACACAAAGACCTTGTAAGCTCTTAGTAATAGAGACCTCCCCACCTCCGTACACCCTGTCCATGAAACTAGAAAGACACACAAACACACACATACACATACACACACATACACACAAGAGTGCATGACGTGGACATTACAGCAAAGTCAAAAGCAGACTTTGGTCAGACAGCCTTTGAAGATGAGCTCTACCACCTTCTTGCTGTGTGCCGTTGGGTAAGTTACTCAGCTTCCCTGAGCCTCCGTGCCCTCATCTGTGTAATGGGTTTGCAAACACTTCCCGTAGAGTGTTGCTATGAGGTTTCAGTCAGCTAACGCCCATAAAGTGCCTAATCTAGTGCCTGGCCCATGGAAACCACTGGATAAATGACAAGGAAGCCTCTTGGCCAGATTTGTCTGTAGGGTCTAGAGTTTTTAACACACTGCTACAGAGAAGTACAGGGCGGAAATGCAAATGCATGAGATGGATGGATAGTTTAATCAGGAAGCTTTTAACTTATCAGAGGAATAGAGAAAGTCCCAGAGATCAATCAAAACACATTTTGTCAGGCTGGAAGGGCTCTCACAGTGAGAGCCGGTGCCCACACCTGCGTAAAGGTCATTTCCGTGTCTGTTAATATATGGACACAGGATGTCACCAGTGAGCCACATCTCCAGCCCGGTGGAGGCACTAACCCAAGTCTACCTTGGACTGGAAGGGTCTTGTGAAAGCTGCTGCTTATTTGGCTCCTTCCCAAAAGCAATGCCAGAACTTTAACTAGAGCCTAGAAGTTGGGGGAGGGGCCGGTGGGGCTACATGTGCTCCAGGCGAGGGAGAGCTGTGCAATTTTGGGAAGTGGGCGGGAAGAGGTCTGCCCTGGTACCAGTGGTCAAGGATGTGGTGGGTATCATTTTCCCCAGAAGTCCGGAGTCTCCGCTAATCCTGTGGTCTTTTGAGCAATCCCCTCCGTGTGTTAGTCATGTGAAATCCCCAAGAGGTGGCGCTGAGATTGGGAAGCCCATCACCAACAACTTTCTGGGGGTTGCCGGGTCCAAATGCTTAAAAGCATGGGCCAAACAGCTAAGTCTGAACCATCCATGGTCAGCCAATTACATGAGGGGCTGAGGCACACACAGGATGGTGAGGCCTAGCACATAATTTGCCCTTTCTGATTTCAAAAAATCCATTTAAAATTTTTTCAAAACCTATGACTGGTCCCTCCCCCACTCTCCTTCCCGGGGCCATTCTAACCTCACAAAACAATCACGTTGCTATTGTTTGCGTTGAAACCATTAATCACCCTGGTGTTCCAACTTTAGTGAACAGCAGGTGCAAGACAAAGAAACAAGTAAGGAAAAGAAGTGATGCCTTCAAAATAAGGAACACCCAAACATAATCGTGGAATGTTGTAAATACTTCTTTTAAGCATTAGTTTTTAAATGGCATTAATGGCACTTAAGCTGCAAGCAATTAAAACAATTCAATTTACTTGTACAAGAGTTGGTTGGGGGATTCTTTCTTTTGTTTGGAGATAGCAAGATTGGACCTCGTCACTATGTCTACCTTAAGACACCCAAAGGGACAAAAAGCCCTGAGATGGAATGATGCCGTGGTCCTCCTTGGTATGTCTCAGACATGCAGGATGTCTATTTTTATAAAAATTTAGGATCAGCTAGACAGAACAGCAAGCCACTGGCATCATGCAAGGCAATTGTTTTGGTTTTTCCCCCCCTCTTATCAAAACAAGTTACAACCGAAGTTCCACTAGAAAAGTGAAATGGACATTTCAAAACCAGTTTATTTTCACCACTGCACCCACTGAGGAAAATGCATGATTTTTGCCCATAACCATGCAGCGAATGAGGTTGAGTTTTCGCCAAAGCTTGCAAGTTCATTCTTCATTTGTCGAGAGACAATTCAATAGGCTTCTGTCCTTGGTTAAGGTGATATCCACAGTGTGATGCATTTGTGATTTTTTTTTCTTTTGTAATGAGGAAAGCAATTGCACCTTTTAATATGTGTGCTCTGATCTGTTTCTCACAAATTCCACATGCTCCCGGGTCCCACGGACATTCACTTGGAGCTCAGAAAGACTAGCTGTGCACTGAGGCTATGTATCAAAATTCAAGCTCAGAGCAACATGCCACAATGTCAACTCGAACCCTCATTACAGGTACTAGTTCAGCCCCCATCCGGTCCCCTTCTCTGTGTGTGCATATCTCTAACGGTAGGTTCAGGAAACGAGGCTCCATGTAAAAGCCACATGTGTTCCTTTCAAAAGGCTGGTCTGAGGAATAGCTGCCCTTTCTCCACGCCAGGCCCGGGTGGCGCCGCTCAGGGGGCACAGCACCGTCCCATACCCGCCCCTAACTTCCGTGGCCACAACCTCCTGCGTGTGCAAACACTCCCGGCGTGTCCTGCGGCCCCTGACGGAAGTGCGGTCCTTGTTCTTTGATTCCTTTTGGCAGAGCGACCTTTCTCCGTCGTTTATGGCACAGTGAAATATATTCTTCAATGCTATGTAATTTCGGACTACCGAGAAGTCTGTTTTAAGGCACGTGTCTCAGGGTGAATATTAAAAAAAAAAAAAAAAAAAAAAAAAACACAACGCTTGGTCAAGTCCAAGGTCCTCAGCATTTAGTTTCTGTCTTCAAGTAATGCGTTGTTCTCGAGTTCCCTGTCTTTGGTGTCCGTGGGGACCATTCCGTTCTCCACGCCCGCCTGTTGCTGGATGCACTCGGTCAGCATGGCCGTGCTGGAGTGGTCCGAGTTGCACATCTTTTCCGTCTCCTCCTCCTTCTTCTCTTCGTCCAGGGAGTAATTCCGGAAGGTCTTGTAGATTTTGTGAACGTCCTCGGGCAAGGTCTTTTTGAGGTCCTTGTTTTTCCTCTTGGTGAGTCTGGAGGTGGATCCGAACTTGTTGATGATGTTGTCCTCAGAGGCTCCCTGCCCGTGTTTGTTCAGCTGCTCGGAGCCCTTGAGACGCAGGTTGTTGGGCCGGTTGTTGATGCTCTCCTGGGACGAGGCCTTGAAGCGGCCCGTGTCCAGGGCGGCGAAGACGGAGCGTTTCTCCGGGGACAGCATGTCCAGCGAGTGGGCCCTCTGGTCCAGGCCCAGGCGCCGGCGCTCCATGCTGCGGATGGTGGCTGCCCGCTGCAGCTTGTCGTGGATCTCCACACTGAGCCGCCGCCGCGTCTCCCGGAACTCGGCCGTCACATTGGCCTTCCACTCGGCTGCATGGGCCTTGATTTCACCAACCTGGCCAGGAGACAGAAGAGCAACTAAGGAAGCCGTCCCCACCTCGGTCCCCCACCACTCCCAGCACCCACTGCCCTTGGAGGAGGCCAGGAGGTGGGGGAGCACAGGCCCAGGTGGGGATGCAGCCCCGGCCCTAAAGACCCATCTCAAATTGGCTCCCGGCTCCTGTGGCTCGGGGGGCACACCTGCTAGAGGACCTGGCATGAGCCTGAGATGTGGAGGTGGTGACCGATCGGGAGGACGGCATTCTGCGGGAGAGACCGCTATCTGGGGTTGGCCGGGCTTGGGTTCCTCTTATGCGTCCACCCTTTTTTTAGCTGTACGGCCTCCTTCCTCTGACATAACTGGGGTAATCATGTCTAGCTCACAGAGTTACATGAGACAGGAACACACACCCGGGCACAAAGCACAGATGCAGCCGGTCCTTGGCCCCTCTCTGTTGCCGCAATGCTTCTGTCTGGGTAGGGGGACCAACCAGGCCCAGTTAGACTGGGACTGTCCTGGTTGTTGAACAGGACGTCCTTGTCCTAGGTACCCCTGCAGTCCTGGGCAAACTGGGAGTGTTATTCACCCTGAATCTGGGCCACACTACGGTTGAGTGCTACCTGGCTTACGCTGCCTTAAGAAGACCCTCTGGGGCACCTGGGAACAAACTTCTCTAGTCATGTTCTGCAAAAGCCCACAGACCATGCTTCCTTAGAACGCAGGAAGATTGATACCTTTCTTGGCTCTCCTTCAGCACTTCCAACAGCACTAGCCCCATGCTTTTCTCTATAGACGAGGAATTCACAAGTCTGCATTTTTGCATTTAGGAAAGTCGATATTTGCACGGTTACTTTCTCTTTCACTACAGCTGACTTTCAGCCGGTCAGTTAGCCATCTGGGGAATCAGACTGAGGATGGCATTGATGGGATTGCAATGGGATTGCATTGCCAGTGTTTCCATGAGCCAGGAAAATTAACACTGGGGCCCGGGAATGAGATGGGAACATTTCCCATTCAGCAGTTTTGTCCTGGGGCCGTCTGTACAGAATGTCTGTCTGCCGAGAAGTGAGTAGGAGGTTTCACTCCTTTCAGGAGCCTCCCCCTCTTTTTGTTTCTTTTTTCTTTTTAATCTCCCTTGCACTTGTTAGCTCTTTTTTTCTTCTCTTGCCCTCTTTTCCAGTTCTTTTCCTCTCTTCCTAGAAGAACTACGTGGACTTTTTTTTTTTTTAATCACAAAATCTACCTTCCCCTCTTCTCCCTTTTCTTGCCTTTGTGTAGGTTTTCACGCATATTTACCCAAGGGAGTAAAGTTTGCATGTCCTTGGACATAGGGGTAGATGTGTTTCTGTAGATCTGACAACCAGGAGGGGGTGATGGTGAAAAGGGACCCCTTGTGTTGGCTTCCCCACAGCTGGTCACTGTTGGGAGGACTTCAGTCTCAGAGAATCAGGAAGGAGTCCTAGTATTCTACTGAATTTCCATATAGACCCCAAGACCTGAAGGACAGGCCCATCCTTCTCAAGCTTTTTATAGACGTTCTAAGCCTCTCCCACATGTCTGCACATCTCCCTCAACTATGGTCTACCCCTGCTGACCATTGCTATTTTTTTTCTTTTTCCCTTTTCATTTTCCTAAAAAATAAGTCATTCTGGGGCACCTGGGGGTGGGAAGGGGATGGCTTAGTTAAATGTCCCACTCTTGGTTTTGGCTCAGGTCACAGTCTCAGGGTCCTGGGCTCCATACTCAGTGGGGAGTCTGCTTGAGATGCTCTGTCTTTCTGCCCCTCCCCCTCATGCTCGCGCTCTCTCTCTCTCTCTGTCCCTCTAAAAAAATTTTTTTTTAAATTTAAATAATTAAAAAAAAAAAAGTTGTGTACTAGTCCTTCCAGGATCCACGGGCTGGTGAGTCATCAGATGTTCTCACCTGCCAGAAAAGGATCCAGAAATAACTGCCATTCCACTGAACTTGGCTTTCAGGAAATGATTAAAAAAGAGGAAGCCATAAGGGCCCTCCATGTATTAAGAAACCCTCCAGCCCATAAAATAGAGACAGGTATTCTTGACATGAGCTCATCTGATCTCAGAAACATTTATAGAATTTAGAAGGGGTCCTACCTCTTCTTTTGTCTTTTTGGATAGAACCCGTAGCCAATCTCCAATCATACTGAGGACAGCTGCAAAGTAGGCGAGGCCAACCAGGATCCAAAACCACACCAGGGGCTTGTACCACTCCCGGTAATTAATGCCAGCATTTCCCCCTGAAAACAACAAAACGTTACTTTAACCAGGGTCTAGCATTTGGTCTTTGCAGAACAAACATATTCTGGTCCACGTAGCAGAGATGTCATCCCATCCGCATCTGACACTCAGCTGTTAGAGGTATTAGAAGGAAGGGAGGGCAAGGCAAAGAAGTATCCCTTCCTAAAGGAGTCTGACTCTGGCTTAACTTCTCTGATTTTTGACCACTAACCATTCTACACACAACAGTGGCCACTAACCGAATACACATAATGTCCGGGGCCAACTTGGTCCAGCTTTTCTCAACCAGGGCTTGACAGTGAATGACGTCAGCTAGAGGACAATACATCAGGCCTAGCTGTCCAGAGTCTTCCCAAACTTCTTTAAATGCAATAAAAATAAAAGATCAATAATTCCCAACGTCTTGGACTTCTTGGCACCATTTCCTTCCTAATACATGCATTTCCTAAGAGCGGAGTGGATGTGTGGAAGTAAAATTAGACTTAATGGCATTCTTGAGACTTTGATCCAGTGGTAGTGATTTAACACTAACTAAGGGATGGTGTTTACATGATGCTAATCCGAAAGGTCAATTAGGCTCAATAATTAGAATCACTATGCCAGAACTAAAAGGCCAGCTAGTCCAACCCCTCTATTTTATACATAGGGATTACAGTAGAAATCCATCAAATCAAATTGGCCAGCTGCCCGATTGCATTGACCGGCTGTCCCGCTGAAAGGACCAGTCATTTATTGCAAATAATTAGCCTATTTATTCTAGCCCTCCTACAGACGCTGCCAAAGGTACCAATGCAAAGCAGCCTCCAAGCCGAGCCCCCTCTCCTAAAGAGGGGAGGACGTAACTGATGTCAGCCTGGCTTTCACTGTGTGAGACACTATTGCTCACTGAGGCAGGCCCATGGTCATTTCCAAGACAACCGACATTGGCAATGTATGGGTAATTAGGGGGTTCCGTAATGAGTGATTACTAGTCTTTCCCACTCGGTAGTGGTTATAACCTCTTCTAGAACCACTGAATCCACACTGAGCTTTTACGGTATCAGTAATACCTCCCAAAGGCAGCTGGGCAAGCACTGCGGCCTGTGGCTCCTCTCCGTGCAGCCCACAATGTCTCGAGGCCATTGCCATTTCTTAAAATTAGAATTCCAAACATTACCAAGGGGTTGTGTGGCCAGACCTCTTCGGTCTAGTTTAGCTACCTTTTTTTTTTTTTTTTTCCCCTCTTAGGTAACTCTCCCCCGCAGCTTCCTCAAGGATTCTACTGGAGTTCCTGCGCAATAAGTGGTTTTTGTGGTTCATTCCGTCCCTGTGCTAGGACTTGGGGCGAAGAGGAAATATTTACTTAGCAAGTCACCACCACCCAACAAGGCTTGTCACTAGGGGGCGCTAGCGAACAACACAACAAACAACCTTCGGCGTCTTTAAGGACTCCTTGTCTGGAATTCAGAGCTCTGTGCTCGCTTTTTATATCAGGGTTTCAAAATCCTGTGATGTTAGGCTGTCCTAACGTGAGTTGGCTACAAAATAAACCATCACTTAATCCTGCATGGTGATCAATGTTCCAGTTACATTTCTAGAAGGGTTGATACCATGTCCAATCACAGCAATCATCGACTCTCGTTAACGTACCTTTTTTAAAGGATCGGGTATCCTTCCCCATTGCTATTAGAGTATAGCCCAAAAGGTTGTGACAAACTTCCAGCCTTTTAAGGCATGCATTCCTCAGACCAATCTACGTAAGCTCCGGAAACCCGAGCTTCCAAGGGCCTGGTCTAATTGCAGTCAGCAATGTGGATTATAAGAGACACCTGTCCATGGAGACCCCAGGACAAAAGACACCAGGCTCTGTAATAAGGGAATTAAAATGGGGCCAGGCCTGTGACTGTGGACGTCACGCCCTTGCTAGGTAAATCAAGATAAGGTCAAGTACCAGTGACTACTAAGTGCTCTCAATCTGTGGTGGAGAATAAGAAGAAATAATCAATTAAAATCATTGGCAGTACCCCATGAAGCACCAGAATCCTCTCTCATTTTGTCCTTGCTTCTCCCCCCAGCCCATCCTCCCAGGGAGGAGCAGCACACCAGCTCGGCAGTGCTCCCTAACATGTGTGGTCTTCCTGAGTGAAGAGGTAAGGAACGTGGATGTCCTTGCTTCTCTCCCATCCATGATGAAGAGCAGGGACCCACTTCCTATGAATTCATGCATCACAATGTTAAATAAACCACACGTGTTCTCCCCTGGGTTATCTTCAACTTTTTTACTTAGAACCAATGTTGCAAAATCATTTAGGTTGGCCAACTATATTCATCTAAGATCCAAATAAACCAATGCCAGCTTTTCTGACATTTTTAATAAAGCTGTAAATTAAGTCCCATCGCATAGGCCAACCGAGAATATCTATGTGCATTAAATCTGGGGCTCATTTTATTTTATTTTTTATTTTTTCATCCTTCATTCGATGCTGTTTTATAAAATGTAATTTGTATTATTATTTTACAGATTCATCATCACTTTTCAATCAATGTGAAGGCCTAGATTCAATAATGTTAACCAAAGCAGGTGGTAGATATTTTATATATTGATTTTAATTTGAATAGGCTATAATAGTTTTTGTTTTATAATATCACAATGTATAACATTAAAATTTAAAATATTCAATTATGTTATTGTCAAATGGCATTTTTTTAGTAAAACGCTTCTCTGCCCTTACACTGTATAATTAGATGTAAACAAATAATCTGAATTCAAATTAAAAATTTAAACTCTTTGCTGATTACCAAATAAATGCATTTTTAAAATTCTGTATCCCAAGGCTCTATTTGTGCCCCAGATTAACAGATTAACAGGCCAAGTCAAGCAGGTGTTTAGAGAGAAGGGCTCATCACTAGCGTCCCCTAACAGTGCGGCAGATGGCCTAGGGCTGGCACAGGGCACTTTGAAGCACAACCCAGTGCAAACTATGCTGTGGGGGAACTTGAACGAGTTTGTGAAATAGTCCCAACAGTTCTCTGTGGTTTCCCTCCAGAGCCGCAGGCCTCCGCTTGAGACGGCCCCTGGGGGCTCCACACCCAAGGTGAAGGGCAGCACAGCGGCTGAGCACTGGGGCGGGGTCCCAGAACCCCGGCTTTTTTAATCACTTTGACTTTGAAGTGCTCAGTCCTTAGGCAGTGAAAAGGACAGGAAAAAAAAAAAAAACTGCTATTTTTACAAACTGGACTTTAGTCTTCTGTGGCCCATTTAGAACAGCTAGGAGACCACCCTGCTGGTTATCACCATCAGGGTAAATGTGGAGACACCCATGTGCCTTTCAAAGAGCCCTGAATATCCCCTCCAGAATGTCCTGTTTTCCAGATTTCCAGATCCCTATCCTCCTTGTGAGCACCGCAGTCCAAGAAGACACCAAGGCAGCGGTCAGGATCATGTACCAAATAAAGTCTGCAAGCTCAGCCTGCAATGTCCAGGCTGCTGCTTAACCGGGAACTGGTCAAGAACACACACACGTGCACACGTGCACACACACATGCACACGCGCGCACACACATATGCACACACACATGCATGCGCACACACGCATGCACACGTGCGCGCGCACACACAGACACACACACACACAATGCACTTGTATCACCCAAACATTTTGAGTTTAGGACAGAGTTGCTTAATTAAAGTGTTCACTTCTCAGACTAGAAAACAATCAATTGTCTAAACCCCTAGAAATATCCCTTAGGATAGAGAAGGATGCCTCCTCTTCCTGCCTTCCTACCACATTCTGGGAAAGCCATACAGGTAAGAAGCCAGATCACATTTCATTTTCAAACTCCCCATCCCTAGCCGAAATTGATGGTGGTTTCCTTTTGCTTCCATAAACATAGTTCATTGTCATCTATGTTCACAATGAAGGCTATTGTTTCTATATACACTTGTGCAGAATTCATTATAATATTGTACTCCCTTGGGACAGTTCTCAGCTCCTGGTAGTCAACTGAGCCCTAAGTCTTATGCCAGGGCAAGACCCAGGATAATGTCTGCAGGGAACACAACCCTCCCCTGGGCAGCCTCAGGAACCCTAACCCACAGGTCGCTGCAGGCCAAGCTTTATGCTAATGACTCCAGAGTTTCATATTTGCCACTTGCTAGTACAGCCTTTATCAATAGATTCAAGGAGCCTTAATGCAAATCAGAAGTCCAACATTCAATGAGAAATTCATTTCACTCATGCATAATTCATAGGATGATAAGGGCAATGAGCATCCTGGGGAAGAAGACGCTGCCTTTCATTTCTCAGCAGAATCTGCTGCTTTTTACATTACATGGAGCCATGGGCTTGATATGAGTCCATGCACAGCAGTAGGGACACTGAGCCATTTTCATTTGCTTCTCCAACAACACAGTTTCTCTTGGTTTTGAAAAGCATTATCAACAGAACCTTTTCCCCACCAGGGCCCTGGTGGCCGGGATGCCCAGTGTGCTTACCTGCCACAAAATCACCAAAGCCCACCGTGGTGAGGGTGACCACGACAAAGTAAATGGACTCCAAGGCGGTCCATCCCTCGATATATTTGAAAATGACAGCAGGGATCGTCACAAATACAATGCAGCCGGCCAAGATGAACAGGATGGTTGAGATGACCCGGATCTTGGTCTGGCTCACTTGCTTTTTCTGGGAAAGCAAAGGAGAAAGACAGGCAAGTCAGCTTTATCACCCCGGGTTCAGAAGACGGAGGCACAAGAAGAATGTTTTATGTTGGTGGCTTTTCACCTTTTATCTGTCATAAGCAGCTTTGGGAGAATATGATGAAGGCTGGGGACCCTCTCCTAGAAAAATGCACATACAGAAGTTTTCAGAGGCTCTAGGTGGTTCTCAGACCCAACGAAGTCTGTTCGTGGACCCCGGGTCAAGAAACCCATCATGCCTTGGATGTCACGTGTATGGTTCCATGACTACAGTCCAAATGCAGATTCTAACTTCCTCACTAGTACAAACGCAATGATTCCCCAAGAAGGGCTTGCTGCCAATTTTCAGGTGGTGTTACTGACCTTCCTCCAGGAGGGCACAGGTTTGGAGCTCTTTCCACAGTGGTAGGGATGGACTCTGCACCTAGCTTCTCTTGTATCAAAGGGAACGTGTTGGAAACAAAACAAAACAAAAACAAAAAAAAAACACAGCTGACCTGAAACACACTAAACAGACTAATGTTCAGATGACAAGAAAACAGCCACCCCCATACGCATTTGAGATGGACTCTAGCTTCTTCACCCTCCTTCCCTGTTGAAGCTGTACACTCGTGACATACTTTTCTTTTAAAACACACACGTGAGCCAGAGCTGCCGTGCGTTCATGCTCTGTTATCCACCAGGGACAGATAAGAGTCCGAGTCAGACCGACAGGTTACTGCTTAAATTGATAGGAGCTTCTGCAGGAGCCAGTCAAGAGGGGAAAGCATTTAGATTGGGAATTAGACAGATGTTACCCAAAGGAATGGTGCCAGTGGAGTCCAGATGTGGACCAGGAGCATCACTGGCATTCCCCTAGAATGAACTCAGGACAACACTGGCATGGCCTCTGAGCTGAATAACCCTTACGGTCCTCTCAAAGCTCCCAGGACCAACATGTAGATTGTCCTCAGGGGGCCGCAGCACCATAACCCGACCAAAACCATACACATCAGAGTGCATGGATCTTTCTCCGTCACCTAGATTGATTTTCTGCAAAAATACACCACATGGAGGGCACTGGATATAGGAAACATTTATCACGTGCTCTGTTTTCTATTCATTGCCTTCCTGTAAATTAGAAGGCAGAAAACCTCAGAGCACAGAGAGAGCTTTGCATTCATATACTCAACAGAAGCCAAGAGGGGTTGAGGGACTAGCATAAAATGATTTTGCTAATTAGAGACAAAGCCAAGATTGTAATTCTGATGTGATTAATTCCCAGTCCAGTGCTTACTGATGGAACCAGACTTCAAGTTACTCAACAATTTCCCAGCTCACATAAAGTCGCCAGAGTCCCGCTCCCACCTGCCCCCCCCTAACAAAATCAACCAGACTAACCCCCCATGAAGAACAACAGGCCATCCTGCTTCCCTCCTGGAAAGGAAGACTGGGAATAAAAAGTTGTTTACTGTGTAATCTATCCAGGAATTCCTAAGCTTCGGTCATAAGCAGTAACATCTTTGGCTGTATCCCCAGGACAGAGCCGGTCAAGAGAGAGCCTTCTAAGATCAACCACTTGGATCAACCATGGAAATGCCAGTCAAGAAGATGACTAGGCTTTCTATCCTCTCCCCCTTGACTGTGGGAGAAAAGTCAGTGCAGCCTCTTTATTGGAAAGTTCTAGGGATGCGGGAGGGCTGTCCGCTCTACTCCTGGCTCAGAAACATTCAGCCCCACCTGCCTGGGGTCCCAGTCCCAAGTATGTTCAACAAGACAAAATGGAGGACTTAGTTCAACAAACAAGAGCAAGTATAGTGGACAGCAAGGAGCCTGCTTCCCCCGTCCCCCTGCCTGCCTCTCTGCATACTTGTGATCTCTGTCTGTCAAATAAATAAAAATTTAAAAAAAAAGAACAAGTGTAGTGGAGAACAGTTATTTGCATGAATCTTAAATCAGCACTATGTACATCCCTGTTCTGAGATCAATATATTCCCTAAAAATGCACAGGAAAACCTAAGGAAATACAATCCTTCTTTACAAAAAGCAGTCATGTGCTCCAACTCCCAAAAGGGCACTGAGTATATAAAGTGGGAACAGGGAAAAATTATTTGATCCATGCTTTTATACAGTCCCCTCATCTCCTCAGAAAAGCCATCTGCAAAAAAAAAAAAAAAAAAAAAAAAAAAAAAAAAAAGATAATTTACTGATATTGCTGAAACTACAAATGAAAATTCCAGGTTTTTTGTGGGTTTTTTTTTTCATGAAAGTATCGTGACAAGATGAGTCACTTGAGAGCCATGGGAATGTCTTACCCATCCCATGAATTTCCAGGCTGAGTATTAGAGCAGGACCTGGTGAGGGCAGTGGAGCCCCTCCGAGAATCCGGGAACTTATTTATTACTAGCCTAGTTTTGTTTATAGACGTGTATAACAATCCAAAGCCCAAAAGGAGATTTCACCATAGATCACATTATATTAATCTAATTGCTGGCAGGGGGAACATGATTCTGCCCCTCCTCTCTAAACTGTCCTCCTCAAATGCATAATGAAATTAAATGTTTGTGAGACACTTGTTAAGTCATAAATTAGGATGTGAACACAACTGTAATCCAAATGAGGCTGAGGTTGGCAAAGGAGGGCTTGCAAGTACGAAGAGAGTTGGAGACATTCCTGGGCTCCCTGAGGTGGGCGGAAAGGACGGCAGCACAGGACAGGATTTGTCTGATGGCAGGGAGGGAGCTATGTAACAATGGAGAAATAATGGTATCTAAAATGGGTTATCTGTTGGAGAGTTTATTGGCAAGGTAAGCATTTCACCACCACTCACCTCACCACCTGAGGCAAACCTCGGCTTCTTCTTTCAGACATCCTAGGGTGATGTTCAGTGAATGCTTGGAGAATTCAATCATGGGGTTATTTTCGGGACTTAAGAAGTCAAGTGTCGTGTGTGTGTGTGTGTGTGCGCACACGCGCGTGCATATGTGTACAGAAACGTGTATACCCATACTTCACTATAAAAGGAAGAGATGTGGACATAAAGTTTTAGCAATATACATTATTCTGGATACCCATGTTTTTGCTGCCCTCTAGATATTAAAACAGAACAAAAACAGTTACCTTAACTGAACACCTTTTCCAAATGGAACCACAAACCATCTTACACGTCATCCAGTGATCTTTGGGCTTCTTATCCCCATTAGCCCCACAACTGTGCACTACCACTTGCAAAAGGGTCTTTAGGAATGTGGAGTCCAAGGTTAGACAACCTGAGACACAACCCATCCCCACTGCTATATGGCTGGGTGACCTCAGGAAAGTTTCTCAACCTCTCTGTGCATCAGTTTCTTCCTTTATGACATGGACATCAAGAATCCACCTCACAGGATTGTTTGGAAGATTAAATATGTCTGTAAAAGTGTTGCACACTGCTAAGTGCTCAGGGACTCTTAATGATTATCTTCGATGTAGAACTTCAAATGTTTTCTCAGATGTGGACAGTCCCAGATTTAATATCACCCTTAGCTACTGAGGAATGCTCCCTCGTGTCTGGCTTAAGATAATCTTCACGTAGCTTCAGGAAGTTGCAGTTAGTTGTCGCTTCCTGGATACATTATCTCATATAATGACCTCACTGTTAATGAGAAAAAGGTCCTCATTCTCTCTTGATTCTTCTGTGTTGGCTCTAGGTTGAGCTCTCAGACAGTCTCAGCCCACAATCTTGAAAACTCTGCCTTTCCATTAATTTCCCCCTAGTTCTTCGTCATCCTTCCGAGATTGCCAAGAATTGTAGATAATGTCTGCAATGTCAGGAACCAGCTGGAGAGAGGCACATACCTCACTTTCCTTGCCCTCCCCTCACCTCTCCCTTCTCTCCACCACGCCGCGTACAGAAGTGTGCTGTCTTTCCAGAGAGGGGTTGCTAAGCAAAATCACACTGTTTATTTACCAGTAAGCAGAGCAGCTAGCAAAAAGCTCTGTGAAAGCCCAGATCTGACTGAGCTAATGTGTTCCTGGGCTAACAAAACTGTTATCTAGGAAGAGATGGTTCGATACAATATTTAAGCAGGAGGGACAGGATGGTTGCGCACATCTGTCCAAATCTTGTTTTCACACTTTGTTGATTAGAATAAACGATGTGTTCTTTCCTTCTTATGCAAATATCATTATGCAAAATGATTTCCTGCCTCCGGATTGGCACTAACTGCAGGAATTTTCTAAGAACTCAAAACCCACCTCCTGTAGAGTTCATTCTGTTGTCACGACTCTATGTTCAATTATTCCAAAGAGCGAAACAAACTTCACAAACAGAGAGCAGGAGAGCCAGCTCGAAGAGCTCTCCTCTGAGAGAGGGATGTACGTGCTCACACTCTTAGAGGTGTTTACTTGTTTCATACCTCAGAGGACTAAACCACACAGCCAAATCTCATTAAGCAAAATGCCCTCTCTGAGTTTGCTTGCTTCCACAAACTTATTTTAGAGAATGAGTATATTTCTATTCATTTATGGGCTGGTTCTTTATTTCGATTTTGCTCCTCTAATGTCCATTCTCCTTTTCACTTCTATGTGATTTCTTAGAATTCTGAGATTAGCAATCCAGATTGTTGTGTCTGTCTGAGGAAACTGCTTCTCTGATGTGATTTTTAGCTGGGACTTTGGAGAGGTTATTTAATGATAAGGACACTGCATAAAAACCCGAGGACAAGAGCTACATGTGCAGAGCTCTACTTTGGTCTGGTTTGGTTTGGTTTTTGTTGAAATGCAAACACATCACCATGGTAATACAATTGAACTGAGAATAATTTCTCAAAGTGGAAAAATAATAGGAACTGCCTCACAGAAGAATTGACTTTATTTTCTGATATTAGGATGTTTGCCACACAGATTTCTTTTTAAAAGGTCCAGTTCCAACAGATAGTTTCAACGTCACAGTGAACAGCTACGTAATACCAGCAATTCTATATACCATGAGGACAGTTTGAAAACACCATTTGCCTATAATCTCCA